ACACACACACAATACACAACACGTGTACTGGAACAATAAATTAAATTTCTTAAGGATTAAATGAAGCTGCATGATTTTCATAACTCAATCAAACCAACATAGAAATAATAAAATAAAAGATAATCTTAATACCATATGAAGTAAGATTTAGAATTATGTAACTTGGGAAGGCTGGTTTATCATGGCGTGTCTACGAGGGAGTGGTAAAATGGGGGATACTAATTTTTAAGCTAATGATATTTAGTAGGGTGTGATATTTGCTAATTAAGTAATAATACCCTAATTAGCCTATTAACTTATTTAGTCCTTAAATCAATTCAATTAATTTAATAAATTTCCATTTTTAACTATCTTGTCAATATTAAATTAAATTACACTAAACTTACGAAAAACGAGAAACGAATATCTTCCGACTTGATGTCTAGGTTCTAATCAAAAGCAAAACAGTACAAAATCGAATAAAGTGCATAATATAATTTAATAAGAGTTATGAACATTAAATTGAATAAATGAGCCCCTGACTTGTCCAGGACATAGAGGTACATTCTATTGTAAAGTCATTCAAGATAAAAATAATTATATTAACATTAAGTTGTAAATAAAGCATTAATGCAATTAAATTAAATAGACATAATAATCACGAGAAATAAGAGCGCGGCATTACAGATCCAGCTACGGAATATCATATTTCAACGAAGCCATATTTGAAATCCCAACGAATCACGAAGAACCTGCAGCATAGCTCTGATATCACTTATTAATCTAAAAGGCAAGATTAATGACGTTGTATGAAATATGTAACAAAATCACAATAATATGAAACAAGATTAAAGTAAAGTGCAAAAGAGAGTTAGAGGGTGTTTGATAGGAATTTTAATAATTGATTTTTTTCACCATTAGAGATAAAAGTGAGTTCTACTTGTGAGAGAAGAATTCAAAAATGATGGCTAGAATAGTGAAATAACGATCAAAAAATTGATTTTAATTGACATAAAATCATTACCAAACAACCACTTAAGCAGAGGAACGATGTTTTATTATAACGACAACATGGAGAGAATGATACAACTCAACAATAAAAGCTTAACCTAAATTGGAAGAGCAGTCATACATTTATAGGCCACATCAAAACCTTAGAAGAGTCCTAAATGGTTAAAAATTAGGTTAAAAACGTGTAAAGCAAAAAAACCTTGCGGCGCCTAAAAACGAACCATGCGACCACATGGTTCAACTTCATGCGGTCATATGGAGTAAACTTTCAACCATTTAAAGCTTTTTGCATGCCATCGTCGATCGCATGGAGTCTAGCCGGGACAAATTTTGTTTTCGTTTTCTGATAAGTGCGTTTTTATGCACTTATATAACTCACAAACATGACTAAAATATGAGCGAAGTGTTTGAAACGTGACCTAAATTCTTTTAATTCTTGGATTGTAGGGTTTGCTGATGGACATGATGGAATTCACGAGAAAAAAAGCTAAAAGGACCAAAACGAATCAAAATGAAAGTTCAGGGACCAAAATGCAAATCTCCAAAAGATGAACTAAAGAAGTAATCAAAGATTGGATCAAGTCAAGTACCAATTGGAGGTTAACATGGATCGATGGAACGAAAAGAAGGAAGAAATGAGGCCAAGATTGTGGAGAAATAAAATTCAAGGACTAAAATCAACATTGTGAAAAAGGGGACACCTATGTGGTCGCATAGGTGCCACCTGAAACTAAAACCCCAAATTTTTTTAGCCTATGCAGCCGATTTTGCAGTTTTCGTTTTTCATTAAAACTTTTATGGACTTCGATTTTTACGTGATATAAAAGTCGAGATTCGTCAGAATTAGGGCAAAAACGCCTTGGAGGAGAACAAAACACTTCTTGGAGACCAAATTGAGGGAGATCAACAAGAGATTTCACGAAGAACATTAAGCAAATTTCAATATCCGATGATATTTTATTTTCAAGAATTCATGTATTCTTTTAGATTCTCAATATTAGGCTAAGTTTTCTCATTCTAGGAGATCGATGAACTATATGATCTTTGGATTTTAGTTCTTGCAATTTGATAATTAAACGTATATTTGATTATTTGAGTGATTTATATACATTAATTTCATCCATGATTGAGTGCACGCGATTGTGTGATGTGTAGTGATTTATTTCTTATATTCGAGGGAAGAGAAATAGATTTGACAAGATATAGATCATCGTAGGGTCCAATAGGGGATAGAAAATACCCCTATGCTTTGCGTGATTCGTTAATTGCTCATAAAACCCCATGCATTCTTATGTATATGCATCCGTCATAAAGATATTATATGTTGGTACATAAGAATATGTTCAAAGATTGTGTTGGATAGATTTAGGAGCATTGAGTCATCAATAATCAAATTGTGTTGTCAGATTGTGAATTAGGGTTTTAAGTGATTATTACATAGGAATTCGTGATCCTAATGTTTTCTAATTTTATTGAATACAATCAATTTTGTGTTCCAATCATCACATTGTGATTAATTTCATTTAAACACATTGTTTGCATAGTCAATTCATTTCATAATACGTTTAGTAAAATTAAGGTTTTCATAAATTAGGGTTTTTCTTATGTTAAATATCTATTTTGACAAATTCGTTTCGATTAAGGTTAAGGTAGATAAAATTGAGCTACTCGATCTCTGTGGGACGATATTCGAAACATAATATTCCACTTTATTACTTGTTAACGAGTCATACACTTGTAATAGTTTTAAATCGAAAGAAAATAATTTCATGAACATTTTCTCTTTGATCTACTTTGATGTATTTCCAAGTCTAAGTCGAATACGCTATCTTTAAGGCTTGTATGCCTAATTTGAGTCACAAACCTAACATTGACACTTTCATCAGTGAATGGCTCGCCCCCAATTGGTAACGTGGAAAGTTGTGGACATCAAGTGAATTTTTAGGAGGTTTGACAAATCTTGCAATGAAATGGAATTCGCATGTGATAGCAGTTTGGAAATAACCTCCTCTGACCATCCTTTCTTCTGCTTTAGTTCACTTGCCATAAAATTCTGCAATTGACGTAGTTCTAGAGTTTCGAAGAATCTATCCAATCCCGATCGTATTCATTTAGCAGCGAAGTGAAGATTGATCTTTATGTATGAGTCGAAAAGGAAATATCCAAAGATACCAAGCAAACTAGCTAGTCAGACTAGCCTCTCTAAAGTGAGAAGAATTTTGCTTATTCCTTACTTCTAGTATTCGATGCTTTCTACCTAAAATGAATCTTAAATTTCGATTTGGTGAGCGTAATAGGACGAGGTTAAATCAGAAACATACGCTATGGCCCAACCATGATTTAGTGCATAAGAATTTTTCAATAGACCAAACTTGTTATAACTACATGATTAAGCCCTTAGCCATTAAAAAGAGAAATTGAGGGAAAAATAATATTTTGAATCGTGATTTTTTTTAAAATGTGTGGTTAATTTTTTTTTTTTGGATTTACGTGCAAAATATTTTATTACATGAATTCGTAATTGAAAATAAGTATTCAAAATACAGAATTTTGAAATAAAGAGTCAAAACTGTTGGGCGCGGAAGCTCCAATAATGCACGTTGATTTCAAATCGAATTATAAAGAACAAGATTTAATGATAATATTGAAGTATACTCTATCACACCACGAAAACACAAGATTGAATTTGTAAAGAAAGAACACAAAGGGTATATACAGAAGAACGATATTTATTAATTCAACAGTATGGAGAATACAAGACAGACTAGCAATACTGCTTCTATGTTACTCTCTACAAACTGACTAGAGGAGCCTCGTATTTATAGGCCAACCCTAGAAGAGTTCTAAAAGGCAAAAAATATATACAATTAGGAGATCCAATTTCAACAGGAGAATATTGTTGGATAGATGAAGATGAATCAACGACACAACCATCCGATCCTTCCGTTGTTTCTCATTCGTTGTCCAATCAGCTGGCATCTTCTCAAAACCCAGCAACGCATCGTCCAAATCCAACTGCGTCAGAACAACCCTCATCTTTACTTTCCACCAAGAAAATCTTGTATGGCGATCTAGTTGCGGAATATCATACTTCAACCCAGCCATCTCGAAAAAATTTAAACCAATCTACGAAAGGAACCAAGTTCTGATACCACTTGTTGGGCGCGGAAGCTCTAATAATACACGTTGATTTCAAATCAGATTATAAAGAACGAGATTTAATGACAATATTGAAGTATACTAGATCACACGACGAAAACGCAAGATTGAATTTGTAAAGAAAGAACACAAAGGGTAAACGCAGAGGAATGATGTTTATTAATTCAACAGTATGGAGAATACAAGACAAACTAGCAATACTACTTATATGTTACTCTCTACAAACTGACTAGAGGAGCCTCGTATTTATAGGCCAATCCTAGAAGAGTCGTAAAAAGCAAGAAAATATATTACAATCAGGAGACTTAATTTCAACAGGATTTTATTTCCTTATTCAACTTAGTTTCCTTAACCCCTAAGTTAATATTCTCTTAGTCTAAATTGAATACGTATCTTCAAAAAACTCCTATTTGACTTATACTCCTAACAAAAACAGGGGTCAAATAGAATTTGGAATGCAAGAGCCAGCCAAAAATACATTGCGGTATATAGGACTGTACTTTCTTAATTTTCAACGCTTGGCTTGTAAAATTTTTTCCATCGTCTCTTCTTTCAAACAGCCATGCAACTATGGATGATTTTTCCTAATTATTTTCCATATTAGAAGTGTAATGGGTACATTGGTTAAAAAAAGATGTCACGTGTTAAAAAATATATTGGAGGGATAGGAAAGGGAATAACAAGTTTAGGACAATAATTCTCAACTCGAAGATTAAGGATCATTCACTATATTTAAGGCTGATGTCAAATCCTGCCCTAAATAAAAGTAGCTAAATTTAGATATTAATTCTATGGCCAAAACTTATCTCCTATATACTTATATAACGTGGAATGAGAATTTACAGCAAAATCCAATTTTTATCTCTTGTAGAGGAAAATTCATTTTGAGGGACATCAGACATTTATTTTCATTCCGGAAGAGACAAGAACCGAGCAGAAGAAGATACAAAGGTTTATATTTATCATTAATTATGGGCTGTTTTTTGTCCTGATCAAATATAAAAGACAGACAAACAGAACAATGGGCTTCTGTTTTACATGATTTTTTTGTATGTATACATTATATGTCAGGATCCCTTCTGCGATTCTCGTGTGTTTCCAGGAACCCCAACAAAAAACAGCCTTATATTCATTAATTACGTTCGAAAATGGTGGAGGGAGGAACAGTTTCCGCTGCAGATAAAACCGAGTTCACAGAATGCTGGAGGACGGCATGGCAAACACCTTATATCATGAGATTAGCCCTCTCTGCTGGCATTGGAGGCCTTCTCTTTGGCTATGACACCGGTAACATAATCTCGTTCCATTTTAATCTTCTTCAGGCTGTTTAGGCGTGTATTATTCATTATCTGAATTTGGGTTGCAGGTGTAATTTCTGGTGCCCTCCTGTACATACGAGAGGATTTTAAAGCTGTAGATAAGAATACATGGCTACAGGTATCTGTGTTTGTGCGCATATATATTTGAATCATCTCCAAAGTATTGATACAAATAGTAACCATACCTTGATATATTGTAGGAAACCATTGTGAGCATGGCTGTTGCAGGAGCAATAGTAGGCGCTGGAGTAGGTGGATGGATTAATGATAAGTATGGGCGAAAAGTATCGATTTTGGTGGCTGATTTTCTGTTCTTTGTTGGTGCAATAATTATGTCATTATCTCCAGCTCCCTGGATGATCATTTCTGGTAGAATATTTGTGGGATTGGGAGTTGGAATGGCATCTATGACTGCCCCTCTTTATATTTCAGAAGCTTCGCCTCACAGAATCAGAGGTGCGCTTGTCAGTACAAATGGGCTTCTCATTACAGGAGGACAATTTCTTTCTTATCTTATCAATCTAGCTTTCACCCATGTAAGAATCTGCGGCTAACTGTAGTTTTTCCTGTTAAAGTTTCACAAGCAAGGTCCTATCTTTTAACAGCATCACATCTGTTATAGGTCAGAGGAACCTGGCGTTGGATGCTCGGTGTTGCTGGTCTTCCTGCACTAGTTCAATTTATTATGATGTTGTCACTCCCCGAGTCTCCAAGATGGCTTTACAGGAATGTATGCTCCTGATGTCTGTCACACGCACACGCTCTGTAGTTGTGTAAATGAATTTATAACATGTCTTGTGAATCAGGGTAAAGAAAATGAGGCAAGGTCCATCATAGAAAAAATATATCCGGCTGGTGAAGTTGAAGGCGAGATGCATGCCCTGAAAACATCACTCGAGCAAGAAAGGGCCTTGGAAGGTTCACTTGGGGAAGGCAACATCTTTCAGAAAGTGAAACAAGCCTGGGCTAACGATGTTGTTCGTAGGGGACTATATGCTGGTATTGCAGTTCAGGTGGCTCAGCAGTTTGTGGGTATTAATACTGTAATGTATTATAGTCCAACCATAATACAGTTTGCAGGATTTGCATCAAATAAGACAGCTTTGGCACTTTCCCTTATTACCTCTGGTCTAAATGCCATCGGATCGTTAGTTAGTATGGGTTTTGTGGATCGACAAGGAAGGAGGAGACTTATGATCATTTCTATGATTGGAATTATTACCTGCCTTGTGACATTATCTGCTGTGTTTTACCGAGCTTCTGCCACTTCCCCACATATCAGCAATTTCGAGTCTGCACACTTTGGTGGAAACTCTACTTGCCCTAGTTACGTGAATGCTGCAGATGCATCATCCTGGAACTGCATGACATGCTTGCAGGAAGACAGCTGCGCATACTGCTCAAATGGAGCCAGCAAAGTAGGTCATATACAAATCTGTTTTATTGCCTATTGTTTGAGCATTGTGTTGGCAACTTTTCATTATAGTTGCACGGTCAGTCCTCATGTCATAAACTATCCAAATATCCGTTAAGTAAACCCCCCCCCCCCCAGTGGGTCTGATACCTGAAGGCCACTTGCCAATTAAATGGAGATTTGAACACTTTTTGTCAGTGGACTGGTTGTGAATCTACAACCAATGTTGCCATTTTTCCTATATATAAATTGCTAGTTCAGTTAGGTAGATGTTCGGTTTTGATTCATTAGAGTCATATCTACACGTTCTCTTTAGTTTTTTTATGCAATAATTATTGAAGATAAATTTGTTTTCATTGATCAGTATGGTGCTGGAGCTTGTCTAGCTTCCACTGATGCAATAAAAGGTGCATGCAGATCCGAGAATCGGATATGGTACACAAAGGGATGCCCAAGCTCGATTGGAATCTGGGCAGTTTTATTCCTTGGACTCTATATCATTGCATACTCACCAGGAATGGGAACTGTACCCTGGATTGTAAATTCCGAGATCTATCCATTGAAGTACAGAGGCATTGGTGGAGGAATTGCTGCAGTCTCAAACTGGACATCAAATCTGATAGTGAGCGAGACATTTTTAACATTAACTGAAGCTCTTGGCTCTGCCGGTACCTTCCTATTGTTTGCCGGGTTCTCCTTCGTTGGACTAGTCGCCATTTTCTTCCTTGTACCTGAAACTAAAGGAATGCAATTTGAGGAAGTGGAAAAGCTGTTACAGAAAGGATACTCACCCTTTAGGAAACGGAATAGTGGGGACGACGACACCACCAATTAACTGTTTGAACATACAGGGCTCAACTCGGCTAGACTAGACTGATAAGAGGAGCATTATTGCCTTCTAGGGTTTCAACGTGCCATTTAAAAAAATTGGAAAATATAATTTTTTTGGTGAGCATACTTCTTGGTTCATTTTGTGGATATGTCTAGTTTGTTCACAAACAAGCTACGGATAATGTGAATAAAATCCAATTTATTCACAATAATAAGATGAGGAAACTCATTTTTGAATGGACAATTTTCTACTTTGATGATGACACAAATTTTAATCCTCTTACACAATGGAACATTTTCCAATCAAAGATACAAACAGAGTCGTGTAACACCAATACTCCTGCACTCTTTATTCAACTCCAGATATCCATGGCATCAACATAAATCATTATTTCTCTTGGTGACAAATCAAATTTCAGAACGTGACTTTCAATCTTGGCCTTCAACTTAACCCAGTCAAGATTGGTCTCCTAGATTTGGCTGCTTGAGAAATGTATGGCAAAACACGCTTACCAGTTCTGGCAATCATAATCAGCTCTAGGTTCACCTTTCATAGGACGCAAGAACTAAATGTAACGGAATTGGAAATGCCAAGGCATTATCAAACTAACTGAGATTTTGCAGGGTTTTCAGATACAAGAACACAATAAGCAGATTATGGCTTCACAAGCTTGCAATAAGCTACAAAACTACTTAGACAAGAACTGCTGCTAGTTTGTAAGCATGTACTTAGTTCCTCTTTTATTTAAGCACAACCGGGAAAGTAAACTACTTCGGATTGCTAACTTGAAATCTTAAAATAACATGTCAAATCAAAAACTACAGGAACCACCGAATTAAGAACCAAATAATATAGCAGTGTAGCTACATCTCAGATTCCAATCTACAGGACTTCTCATTTGCAATAGTTTGAAATATTATGCAACTACTCGCAAAAAACAGAAGCGAAAGGAGAAGGAAATTACTTATAGCGCTAAAGTTTTTTTCTGCAACAAGCAAATAACCAGGGGAAAGCCAAGGGGAAAGGATAAAAAAGACACAATAAGTTCATTCATCTTGTGACAGGTGAAGAAGTCGGTAAGAAATAAGCAATAAGGCTAACATGGAGAGCAGCGTGAAAATTGAAGAGTGGAAAAAAATTTATTGACAGCCACCGTTACAATAGCACTGAACAAATATGCTAGTTAACCTAGACAGAATTATGAATTTTTAAATAAAGTAAATTACATTCCGAGACAGGAAAACATGGGTTGGAGGTTGCCATAAGCCAATAAATCCCAACAGAGCTAACCACATGAGCCGTAGTTCCCCTTCCCCTCAACCAGAACTAAAAGTTTGAAAGCTCAATAAAGAAAGTACATCATGATCTCACTTAAGTAATTCCCAAATTCGATGACATATCTCACAGAGCGAGTTGTTGTCACACCGATCATCAACCCACATCATTTTTGCGTGAGTGATCCATGATCGTCAAACTAACATCAAATAATCCTTCACTACATAAATTTGAAGATGCGAAAAAGAAATAATCCTTAAAAATTTATAAAACCGTGGACAAGGAGAAAAAAATGTCACACATAATAAGCATAAAATCAAAAAGTGCAAAAGGCAAACTTTTCAAGATCACATTTAAAGGAGTTGCAGAAGAGAAAACGGGAAACTTTAGGATTCCCATGATCAATATTAAGAAGAAAAGTAAGAACTTCCTACATCACGAACAGAAAGTGCAAACTTCAAGATACACAGAATCGAAAGAATTTTTCGCTAAATGAAATTTGAAGAACTTCTCCCAACAATGGAAACACCAAACAGACACTACTAATTCGTAAAATCGGTAATATTTTCAGAAAATTTGGTAAACTAGGAGCACGGTGAAAATCCACATAAAGCAGATTAAGACATCATTCTTGCAAATAATTCAAAGAAAACAAAAAATAAATAAACGAAAACCAAAACTTTGCATCGTCGCCGAGAAACATCAGATATTTCGAAATAAGAAATAATCAAAGGGGAAAATTGATAAAATTAAAAAAAGATAGCTCAGCGAAATCGAGGATCACTACACGCAAAATGATACAAGTTAGATGCTCGAATTTTGTCCAGCCCTCCAAGTACGCATATACATGTGTTTCTGTGAGAGAGAAAAGGAGTGGATGAAGAAGCGAAAGCCTGTACAGTACGCTGAGTTGACAGCTCCGTTAGGGTTTTATCGCCCGCCGGAAGATAGGATCGCAAACGGTAGTATCCAAAGTTTGACTTAGTCACTGGAAATTGTTTTATATCAATTTAATCACCAGACCCATTAAAATTAGGAAAAAACCATTTGTACAATGATTGTATAGAAGTTATATAGATGCGGGACAACTTTGAGAATAGCTGGTAAATTCTTCCTTTTTTTCACAATAGCTTTTCCTATTAAAAGTACTATATTGCCCTTAATGAAATTATTTACAAGATCTATCTTATATCTTTAAGGATTTATCAATCAGGCCCTATATTTATATTTTTCAATTTTTTGAACACTTTTAAATATTCTTTATATTTTAATAATTCTTTAAAGATTATAGGTTGACCTTTCTTGGTTATATATCCTTTAAATAATCCTTCTGAAATTTCTTCTTGTATATCCGTATGTTTAGTTATAATATCTTCTACTTTTCTTATTTCTCTGCTAGTTCCTACAGGATCAAATCCTATATTATTTCTACAAGTATAATCTATATCTCTGTATATTTCTTCTATTTTTTCTTTACCAGCAGGAAATATATCATCAGATTTTTTATCTAATTTAAGTAAGAACGAAACATCTTTTTCATCTAAAATTAAAATAAGATTATTATTATCATTAGTAGTGGAAGTGGATGCTTGTGAATTGTTCATGAAAATAATTAAAGCATAGGCATGTAAAAACAATTAAATAACTTACAGTAATCAAGTGGAAATAAACAGGCTTTCCCTCCAGTATACTCTTATGGATGCTTTGCATGTACTTAATCAATCTTCTGAATCAAGTAAAGGTTTAAAATGTTTTGAAATCATTTGGGTCCACAACTGCTTCCGCAAAAGGCTTTTCAATTAAGGTTGCATTTCTCATTTTAGAGAACTAGCCGTGTTTCCACAAACGCTATCTCACAGTATCCAGAGTCTCTGTTTTCACCTCTATCCAAACTCTTTTCAGAATCAAGTTCCTACTTGGAACGAAATTTTAAAAGATAACTCACACACAAGGTGCTACAAATTTTTGTTAGAAAACTGCCTTTTTCCCCTAAACCATTCATTAAATACAGAAGGCTGCCTTTTTCCTCTAACCATTCATCAAATACGGGTACTTTGGCATGGCTAACATCCATTCAAAATCAAAGTTTTGAAAATCTTTTAAAATCTCTATCTGTACTGCCGAGGAATCATGAGAAACTTAACGAAATCCTTTTATAAAAACTTTGTTGAACATAACAAACTTTACTTTAATATTCATGAACTGAAATTGTACATACTTGCAAACTATATTTACATACCTTTGGTACTCACCTTATGAAGTTTAGAACTCCATAAGTGATTACCTTCTTACAAGCTTTCCTATCTTCAAGCTATCTAATATTTTTCTGAATACAAGTAGTGTATACAGATTACAAAGGGTTTTTCTCTAATGTGTTTAAGAGAAATTATTTCAAGGTATTTCGAGATGTCTTCCTCCTTCCTTCATGCCTCCTTTTATAG